GCCAGGCCACATCGTGCAAGAGTGGTCAATCAGTACCTAGAAGAAGAAACAATCGAAAGGATGGATTGGCCAGCAAAATCACCTGACCTGAATCCAATAGAGCATGCATGGGACATCCTCCAGAGGCAAATTTTAGGAAGGCAAAACCAACCAAACACGCTCCGTGAACTTGAGTTTGCTCTTGTTGAGGAATGGTCAAGAATTCCACAGGATAACTTCCGAAATTTGATCAACAGTTTTCCAAATCGATGTAGGGAAGTAATTCGGGCTAGAGGCGGTCATACAAGATACTGAAAATAACGTTTGGACTTTCCAGGTTAATTAAAACCCTGAAAACACGACTGTTGTTTCCTCATGAAATCCTGTATTGATGAATATTCTTGTTGTTTTGACAGTTACTTGTTGTAACATGTTGTTCATTCGTTTATTATAAGAGATTTATAATTGTTTACTTTTAAAATGTTATTTGTTTCCACCACCTTAACAATATACGTTGCAAAAAATAAAATTTTCAAGTTGGCCCTTAACTTATTTTGTTGAGTGTATATAGCTTTTTATAGCTTTCTAAATGTCAAAGCTTTTGCTCTATTGTTTTGGCCAATTATCTATCCCTTATCTCTCATTTATCTGCCTTTAAGTAGGAAAAATAAAAGCATTGAATTCTCGGAAAAAAATCCGAGCCATCAGTTCTGAAAATTAAATTAAGGTAAACGTTTCAGAATCTTTAGTGAAAGTTAATATGACCATTGTATATACGTGTTATGAACGACCAAGATAAAACTGATTTATCAATATTATTGAAGAAATGTTTTATTAAAGTGTTCCTCTTTATTACTCATTTTTAAGAGACAAAATCTCATACCAGAGAGGAATTTTATAATTTATGGTTACAATTTAGCATAAATTTACTAAAAGGTAAATTTTACTTCACAAGGCCTATAAAAATCTTATCAATCTAAATATTTACATTTTTTCCTTTACGTAAAGAAACATCTTGAACAAATAAAATGTAACTGCAAGAAAAAAGCAAATTATATTCTTTATTTAAAATTTATTTCCTGGTTGTATTTCACTTTTTTACGTCAGGGTTGTGAAAGTGTTTACTTATTATTTTTCAGTCAGTATTTTAAATATTAGTTTTTTCTAAACAGAGTAAATGGCAAATGTATATGTATTTCAGTTATTTTTGGAAATCCAAAGATTGACAGTAAGCGTTTTTGTTGATGTTGTGTTATATTTATTGGTAACTTATTTTGTTCTCCTTGCTTTATGATAGAGCTGATGATATAGCTGATCCCTGCAATGTCTTGTGTTTATAATATAAACCTTATTGAGATGGGTGTCTTGTTTAGTGAAACAGTGTATGCAAATAATAAGAACAAACAGAATAAATGCTGATAACTTTACAATCATGTTCATTTTTCTTTACAGAAATTAATGATTATGCTAGGTATTTTGTGGTTTTCTTTAAATGTATATTACTCTTATTCGTATAGTTCACTAGTATCCAAATCGGAATTCTGAGACAAATTTTTCATTGTTTATTGATATCGAGTGAGTTGAATATCTTAGTCTCTTCTTCGCCCCTATTGAAAGGGTAGAAAATTCATGCTAGCCTAATTGTTACATAGGAAAAGCTGTGATGTAGCATAAATAATTTATGTTAAGTAACAAATCTGAAATGGCCCTCTTAGTAACCGCCTTGGTTCATATGAGATACCGTGTCTAGTCTTAATTATGGCATTTGTATCCAAATTCTTGACATTTATCGACTGAATAAGTTGCATAAAACAGGTAAGCCAACTTTCTGAGCTATCACCGCTACACATGTATAATCGTCTTTAAAAGGACAAAGACGCACCACATTGTCACGTTTTGATTTTGGGGGGAAAAGTTCATTTTTCGTGGTCTCTGGGTCATCTCTCCATTTTTTAAAAAGGTGTAATCGTTTCTTTGAATCAAAATACACAAAAATAACGTTTCAAAATCTTGGAGAGAAGACCCAGACATAGAAATTTTTTAGAAAAATGTGTTTCAAAATGTACAATTTTGCACCAAATGTCTGATATGGCCAATTTCCACGTTATTTTTTAGCAAATCAAAGCTCAATGTCGGGAAATATTTTCCGTTCTTGTTGCACAGGAACCCGATAAATTAAAATAATGTTAAAATTTCATGTGACATGTCAATAACATTTTCACTTTTCAATTACGCCCAGGTTCCTGCCGAATGCCAATCAAAAGCGCCCTCGTTCTTTTATTGAAAATGTCTTGTTATGGTTAAATTGATGAAAAAATACAGTTGCAATCAAAGCCTTTCCACGGAATTCTTGTTTATCAAAAATAGTATACTATTTCCATAGTCCAGTCGAGATGTAACAAGGGAGTTCACGAGAGTCTTGCATGCATCACTTGAAATGAAACTCCTAATTCTTCCAATATTGCGGATATGATAATTGCACGTTTTAATGATGGTCTCTATTTGCTTTTCAATGGTGAGAAACCTGTCAAAGTGGATGTCGAGATAACGTACAGATGTTATACTGTTGATGACACTTTCTCCAACTTTAAGTTGTAAGACTGGCACCCTCTGGGATTGGATTTTTTGGTACATATTATCAATGCAGATTTGTCCTGGTGATTAGACGGCATCCAGGTCCCTATATCCTGTACGCAATTTTCAAGTAGTGTAAAATAGTTGTAAAAGGTAAAAAAAAAATGTAGGTCTAAAATAGGCTGCTTTGCAATTAAGTCATTTGATTTTGAAGGTGGGTGCCTGTAAAGTACATGTATTTCCCAAAATTTGTTTTAGTTAAGTCCTAAATTATACACCACTAATTTAGTTTTCCATTTATAACTAAATCTAATGGACAATGATATTTTGACATACTGTAATGATTGCTAGTATCTGATTTTCTTCACTTTACCACTTTTCCACTCAGCCACAAAGAGGTTATCACTGGTGTCTAAACATAAACCCCATGGACGCTGTAGATCACAGTTGTCAATGTAACGGAGGAATTGTCCGTCCTGATCTAGGATGTGGATTCAGTGGTTATCCCAGTCTGCTGTCAGAATCTGACTCTGACTGTCTGTTGTGATGCCGCGTGGGTAAAATGGATATCTCTTGGTTGCCGATTTCTTGCCAGTGTATCTAAATCGAAGTTTTCCTGCCTTATTTACCACCACTACTGCACTAGCTACACTGTCAGCCACGCAGACGTCCAGGTTTTTGTTCTCACTTATGTTTTTAATAGTGTAGACACCAGATGAATACAGGGGATTACCTTCACTATCAAATTGAATAGTTTGTTTCTCTAAGGATCCAGAGAATCGGGCAACCTTTGATTGTTTATAATCGTCACTGTCCATGGTAACCAGGATGTCACCAGAGGATGTACTACAAACATTGTAAGGTACCCAACCCTGCAGTATTATCACTTCTTGTATCTGTTCATTCTTTACAAAGTTTACAGTTCTTGAATCAGGGTCCGTATAAACTAGATCTCTACTTCTTGTCACTGCTATGTCCTGCGTAAAATTCCCAGACTTGGTTTGGAATGACTTTAGTAATTTGCCCTGGTGGTTGTAGAGTTTCATAATTGTGTCCTCCCCACATGTCCAGATTTCTTCATCACTGAGACAGGTAACTCCGTATAAGCTATACCCAGTGTCCACGATGTTGATGAGCTTTGGTTTATCAGGTAGTGGTTTGATTGTGTAGCCAGGTTCTTCTGTTGAAAAGGATAATGCTGACAGAGAACCAAACATTTGATGGAGCTGTTCTGTGTTGATCTTCATGGTAGTGAAACTTGGCAATGACACATTTTGGTCAGGAGGTAAGTGTCTGAACTCTGTGCTTCTGGATTTGTATACAGATGCTAAGAAAATATTGCTGGATTCTAGAATGTACTTCAGATCAACAATACTCTTTTTAACATCAAAAGTTACGTGTTTGATTTCTTTTTCCTGTTTACTTAGAGCAGCGAAGTGTTTTAATTTCATCTCATCAATTTCTGATTTCTTTTTGTTGACAATGATATTAATTTCTCTGTGCCAGTCTTCTCCTTGTTTGATGACAGATGCTTTAAGTTTTCTGTAGTGTGATTCCAAGTCGTCTTTTTTGCTTTTTATGTTTGACCCGATTTCTTCATATTTTGGGTAAATTTTAGCTTCAAGTTCTTTTAATTCTTTTTCCATGTGTTTCAATTTTGTGCCTATTTTTTGTAACACATCTGATAAATTATGTCCTTTGTGTTTACCAGCAGAGATGCAGGTAGAACAGAAAGGAATGTCACATTCCTCACAGTAGAGTTCAGAGTTCTTGGAATGCTTTGGACATTTTGGATAGTCAGGAGTTGAGGTTCTTTCTTTATATGACACGACTCTATGTGCTTTGGTTGAATCAGAAAGATGCCCTCCTACACATGCCATACACAGATTGACATGACACAACTTGCAGTGACTTTGTACTACATTGGTCTCGCAGACGTCACACCTTAATATGTCTTGAGCACTATACCGGGGCTCCATTACTGATGGTTTGCCATGATCATGTGCCCAGGTGATACTGCAGTAAAATGGAGACATAACGATTTCAATACCCCTGATTAAAACTGATGATAATAACTTTCTTTAAAATGTTATTTACAATAGAAAGATGTGAATTAATATGATCTAAAAAAAGGCCTCAAAATGATTTTAAGATAATTAGATTACAAAAATGTAATATATCAGACACATATATGTCATAATTGTCTTTGTACCCATTAAAATGTAAATTAATGAAATTCTTCTTAAAACAATGATTAAATAGTCTGCATAAAAAATAACAAAGTAAATACTGTTTTAATTTATCATGGCCCACCTGTAAATCTAAAATCATCGCTTGTGGACATCATTACTCCCTGTTTTAGTTATCATACTCAAAGTTCAATCATGTGACTTAATCTGATTTTTGGTCATATGATTTCAATAAATATTTACATATAATAGGCCTTTCAATTGCCGCTAAGGTTTGCTGTTATGAACAAGAACTCACCGCCGAAACTCATATTTTATTATTTCCCAATTGTTTTTTTTGCTTTCAGTAGATTCCAGTAGTTTTAAAAATTAAGCACTAATGTGACACTTATCTACTATATATAGTTGAGGACATCGTCTAAAAAGATCTTTTTATTTAAAGAAAAGGTGAAAGCTACTCTCCTTCTTACATCTTACCTGATTAAATTTTTATACTCGATCGTTCTTTCACGTGTTAGTAACACAGATAAGAAAATTAACTGTAAGTTGCATTTACTTGCAAATATTTATAAATTTAGATAGGAAGGAAATAAAAATGAAATTATATTTCCTTCTTCATAACAATCGTAAAAGAGTTTAAAATATTGAATAGAGTCTGTTCCCCATTCTTTTGACCCCTTTTTTCAGATAAAGTGCAGACATCTTTCTTCTTTCCATCACCTCTGTGTTCAAAACAATAAAAGTAGTCCTTTTGAGGACATAAAAATACCAATGTTGAAGCAGCTATATGTTATTCTATTAACGATAGCTTAATATCGGCTCTGATTTGGTCATTTTTAGCAACTGACTTACGAATCCTCATAAAACATAACTCCGTAGTAGTCAGGTAATAATATCATAAAAATAATCATTTTTTAATGACTTTTAAAATTAATGGTATGCACGCCTTGACATCGTTTAGTTGCCCTTTAATTCCAACTGACTTTAAAAATTACCAGACTCAGAGAACCCATCTTTTTCCTTTCATTCCTTTTTTCCCATCAACAAATATTTTGCAAATTTGTGGGAAAACTATTTTCCCGCTTTCCTGCTAAACCACTTTTTACCCAGAGTCGGAAGAAGCTAGGTCACCAAAACATATATGTATTTTAAAGATGAGCTGATGAACTAATTTTTTTATTTTTATGTCCCTGAGTGCTTCACCTACTTTCAATAATGATGCAATAGGCCTATGTTAACATGTAATTATTCGTTATGTACATTTTATCAGAGTACCGAAATTATTAAAAAGCGGTTCGTTTGCTTCAAGCTGGGCTCACAAAGAAATTCTTTGTACAAAGTGATATTTAAGTACTGTAAATTATAAATTTAGTGACTTCAAATAAGATAGAAGAGAACTGAACTGCACTCGCATGAACAGAATAACATCAACTTCAAGTGGAATATTTTCTTTCGAAAGTTAAATGCGATTTTTGACATTCACAGGAAGTACCAACGTGCACAGCCGATAAAATCCCTCATTGTGTGTTTCGACCCCTATCTTGGTACCATCTCAGGATGGGGGATCACAATTGTCTATTTTATTCTTCCACTCTTTCTCTATAGTGTATGTCATCTAATATAGAACTTAATTATGAAGCCAATTGTATCTTCCTTGTGATAATGTCAGCCTGAAAGAAAAAGAGTATGTGCTGCTGTAGGGTTCCTCTTTTTCCAAATACGCGACACTGATTATTTTATAAGATCCCATCTATGGAAACTGACTGGTGTTGGTAGCACATCGTACAATCGTACACTGAGTTGAAAGTAATGCTAGAACTATGGATAATTTTAAGCGCCTGCCCAGTATAGTATCATGCAATTTGTCTATTTCCAATCTAGTTAACACCACCTGGACCCTCATTTCCATCTCTTTCTTACTCTATAGCTCTGATCTCTTTCTGCACCATGCTATGTCTCTATGTTGTGACCATTTTTTCCCCAAAGCATCAACGTGTGGCTCAGTGGTTAGAGAGTCTGCTCTGGATTTGATCCTTACGTTAAGGACCTCCTCTGTGAGAGCATGTGGGATCATTCGTTACGTATTTGTTAAGTCTATCCAAACAACAGTTGGATCTTTTTTGTTAACTTTTGTGTCATGGATTAGTTGTGTTATTATGCTTGTATGATCAGAGAATCCAGCTTCTCCTACTTTCTAAACTGATTCATCCACGTATTGAATTTTGGAAATGTATTGCAAGAGAGTTGAGGCTACATATGGAAAATTCTATGCAAAATGTCTAATTAAATTCCATAATTGCTCTAACTAACGCACAGAAAATGTTAAGACTTGTTTTATAATACATTCTTGGTACCTACGACATGCCATAGCCAGTTCACATTATGATGTCATATTATGACGTTATCAACCTCTACTACACAGGTTCATAAGAGACATCAACAAAACCGCTTCGGCGCAAGGGCATACCTTCCTTTGTTTTACATAAACAAGGTAGAAAAAGACGCTGGATATTCCAAGGATTTAAGATATTGCAGCACAAATTTCGGCACTGCAATTGCTTAGTTACTTTTCTTGCAGTTTTAAGTTTAAACAAGGTAACAATACACAGTCCAGTGTAAGTTTCCTAATACTATAATCGATTAAGAAAGTTCATAGAATTTGTGCAGCAATTTTATTAATTTAAAAATATTTCCCTTAATATCATAAATAGTTATATTGAAATAGATAGGTTATGCCCTTGCGCCGACGTGATTTTGTTGATGTGATTGATTACCTTGAATGGGAGAAAAAAAATGACGTCATAATGTGCACTTGCATTAATAAATTGTGGGTACTTTATATGTATTAGAAAATCAATTTGATCTTTTCTCTGTACATAAAATATACAAAATATGGATTTTTATCAGCTTATTTGCATAGAAATATACATATTTAGCCCTAAGTCACTTCAAACTTTAATAAGAATATTTAATTTTTCAAAGACTTCCAAAAACCTTGCAACTTATAAAGATTAATAAAATGAAAATTGTTACAAGAAAAAAATAGATTTTCAAGCTTCATTTTGATGAATTTCAAATAAATCTTAGTGTTTAGAGTTACCTTTTCTGGCTGATGATCGGATATCCTTCATATTTAATATTGTTTTTTTTTCTCTTCTTAACGGATTTTGTTTAATGCTGATGATTTAAAATAAAACAAAACTATATTTACAAATTTACACAAAATGTTATCCATACATGTACATGTAGCGATACTTCCAGGAGGATCTGAACATGGCATTTTAAAATAAAGCTCAAAGGTGCTGTACACTAAAACGTCAGAATTTACAGCAGTCATATTCGAAAATTATACGATAAATATATAATTTTTTAAGTTTCCAATATCATATAAGTACGTGTTAATATTAGATGAAAAAAATATAAAATGCAGTGCCCAAATATAATAAAAGGCTTTTAAAAATACACAGTTTATTATTCATATGCTTTTTTCTTAAAAGAGAGGTTTTAAGCTTTTTTTAAGATTTCCAATAGTATATTCCCATATGTCACGGTCCTTCTTGACGGAACCACTAAAAGATTTGCTGATTCTAAGTGAAGGGTACGTGAAGATGTGTACGGCTCGATTAGTTCGCTAATATATGTTGAAGCTTGTCCATGGAGTTCTTTGAAAGCATAACGAGATTCTTAAATTGGCAACAAAATTCTATCGGCAGCCAGTGTACATTGATCAAGACGTAATTTTTATGGCCATATTTTGATTTTGATAATGTATTCAATGTACACGTTGAAGCTTGTCTGTGAGTTGTTAATTCTAACAAGGAATGCATTTCCGTAATCCAAATGGGATGTTACTTATGTATTAACAAGCGTTTGTATGCATCTTCAGTGATGTAGTTCCTAATACGTCCGATGTTTCTTAAGCAGAAATAACATGATTTCGATCCTATATTACAGTATTTTTCCATTGTTAACGACGCATCAAAATATGTCTCAAAATTTTCAACAAAAGGGCTATTGTGGATGATATTGTTTCCAAAGAGAGACCAAATCCTTCAATTTCAACTTACTTGGTGTGAGTGCAAAAATCATGAGTTCCCTTTTTCCTGGTTTATTTAAGCAATTTTGCACTCATCCAGTATTTTATTTTATTTTAGCATGCGGTTAGACGAATGGAGATGTTATTTCAATTATACCTGGGTTCAATCATGAGGTAGATCTGTTTTGTCCAGATGGTGTTGAACAAATCGACACGCGATATGATCTATCGCTTATAAGGTATGATTGTAGCTTCTGAAGGGCTGAACCGCCTAGTCAAATCGATGGAAAAGTAAATCTTTTATACAGTAGTGCCAAATTCTCCAAACTAAGAGGGTAAGTTATACAGTAGTGCCAAATTCTCCAGATCTAAAATGCATACTACATTATGCAGTAGTGTCAAATTCTCCAGAGAGTAAGACAGTAAGGTATTCCATAAATATTTGTAATTTGCACCAACTCTGAAAAACCTGCGAGGGTATTTGTCCCTTTTTGACAGTTCTAGTTAGCATTGTTATATAAGGAAATACATTAGCAAATGTAAATATTTACATATACATATAGCCCATTATAAGTTGGTATATAATAAACTTATCATTTTATCAATTACCTGATCCAACATGTATCGTTGACAGACGCGGATCATCAAATCAAACTCTATGCTTGGCGTCTTGCTTCAACTGACAATCTGCGCCCATATCATCAACTCGACGTTATACAACCCTTTGGATCAAGTTACTTTTATAATATATATCTATTTTATGAACAGGCTTTTAAATATATTCATTGTTGAAAATGTTATGACTTTAAAAAAAATATAGTTAAACAGTGTTTTAAAGAAAAAATCAATATTAGAATTTTAAGAAAAAAATTTATCTTATATTAAGTACAAACCCAAAACTACACTATTGAATTTTACAAGTATTGATGTTTTACAATTATCTGTTTATCTGTATTTGATTTAATGATTTTATGTCTTATTTTCGATTTCATTATGTCAATCTAAGCAAAGCTGTAAGAGCATAAAATTATCACACAAGCCAAACGATATATCATTGTCATTAAATTAAAAAAAACCCAGTCATTCCTTATATTTACATGTTCTGATTCCAAAAATCTACGTACTACAAGCCCCGCTTCTGTCTCTATTTGTCCTGTCCTACAGGTGATTTTTTTAACCGCTCCTATCGATGTATTAAAACATTAATGAGGGAATAAAGTACATTTACTATTTGTAATTTTATGTCTGACATTGTAAATGTAAACTTAAACTGTGTTTCTCGTAAAATCAACAGAAATTTAAAACATTGTATGAGGTGCATGTACTACTTATAATTTGATTTGATTAGTCCTAAGTCAGATGGCTTTAAACTCTCATTTCATAGCTAAATCTTGACAAAATGCAGTAGTTACATGTATCTGATTTTCTTCACTTTACCAGTGACATTCTCAGCCACAAAGAGGTTATCACTCATGTCTACAAATAAACCAAATGGATACTGTAGATCACAGTTATCAATGTAACGGAGGAACTGTCCGTCCTGATTTTTGATGTGAATACAGTCATTACGGTCTGCTGTGAGGATCTGACTCTGACTGTCTGTTGTGATGCCGACTGGATTAAATGATCCTTTGGTAATAGAGGGATGACCAGTGTACCTAAATCGGAGTCCGCCTGCCTGATTGACAACAACTACTGCACGAGCACTATTGTCAGCCACACAGATATCCAAGTTTCTGTTCTCACGGATGTATTTAGCATATTTAGTAGATGAATACAGAGGTTTACCTTGACTATCAAACTGAATGGTTTGTTTCTCTATAGAGCCAGAGTAACGGACAACTTTTGATTGTTCATCATCATCACTGACCATGGTAACCAGGAGGTCCCCAGAGGAGGTACTACAGACATGGTAAGGTCTCCACCCCTTTAGACTGATCACGTACTGTATCTGTTTATTCCTCACAATGTTCACAGTTTTTGCATCATCATCAGAATAAACTAGATCTCCACACCTTGTCACTGCTATGTCACGTGGCCAGTTCCCTGACTTGGTTTGGATTGACTTCAATAGTTTGCCTTTGAGGTTGTAGAGTTTTATGATTTTGTCATGTCCACGTGTCCAGATTTCTTCATCGCTGAGACAGATACCACTGCATAGTGTTTTATACCGAGTGTCTATGGTGGTGATGAGCACGGGGTCATCAAGCAATGGTTTGATTGTGTAGCCATGTTCTTCTGTTGTAATGGATAATGCTGACAGAGAACCAAACATTTGATGGAGCTGTTCTTTGTTGATATGATGAGGATAGAAACTTGGTAATGTAATATTTTGGTCTGGAGGTAAACAACTGAAATCAGCATTTCTGGATTTGTAGGCAGAGGTAAGGGAGACATCATCAGAGTCCAGTATTTTCTTGAGATCAAGCAGGCACTGATTCACTTCTGCAGTTATTTGTTTGATTTCTTTTTCCTGTTTATCTAAAACAGCCAAATGTTTAATTTTCATTTCATCAATTTCAGATTTCCGTTTATTGACAATGATGTTAATTTCTCTGTGCCAGTCTTCTCCTTGTTTGGTGACATCTGTTGTCAGTTTCCTGTAGTGTGATTCCAAGTGGTCTTTCTTGGTTTTTATACCTGAGGCTATTTCTTCGTATTTTGGGAAAATTCTAGTCTCAAGTTCTTTTAATTCTTTTTCGATGTGTTTTGTTTTGGAGCTCAGTTTTTGTAAAACATCTGATATATGATGCCCCTTATGTTTTCCCGAGGAGATGCAGGTAGAACATACAGGAATGTCACATTGTTCACAGTAAAGTTCACAGTTCTTGAAATGCTTTGGACACTTTTGGTAATCAGGAGTTGACGTTCTTTCTTTATATGGTACAACTCTATGTTTTTTGGTTGAATCAGAGAGATGCTCTCCTACACAGACCTTACACAGGTTGACATGACAAAGCTGGCAATGACTTTGTACCACATTTCTCTCACAGAGGCCACATCTAATGATGTCTTGAGCACAATACCGGGGGTCCATGCTGATGTTACAGCCACTAGGTCAGGTCAAAGCCTGTATTGAAGTAGAGAGGTTAAAGTGATGGTTAAATACCACTTGTGAAATTCCTATGAAATTAATTGATTCACTGATACAAACATTTTTTTTTGAAAGAAAAATAGAATCTAAAATTAATATAGAAATTTGATATAAATTTTGAATGACCATAACAAACTTATATTACTGAGAAGATTAAATTTTCAGACACATCAGTCATTATGACAATTTAAATTCCTTAATTATTTTCAGACAAGCTTTTTATATTCAATGTTAAGTTATTATGTTAAGTTCTTAAGAATTAATAATTCTCTCTTGCACCTAACTTAAGTACAAATGATACTAAATAACAAGATAAAAACAGCGTTATATATCTTTCTGACCTGTAAATCTAACATGGCTCCCGGACGACACCAATATTACTTCTTTCTTCACTTATCTGTCTTATCCTGTGTTCTGGTCACGTGATTTAAATACTTGTACTTGTTTATACTAAAATGTATATATTGATCGCATGTCAGGTCAAATTTCTGTTTTGTGTAGCATTCAACCAACTCTTTTTCAAAGTCCACATTTTGTTTAGTTAATGTATTGAACTTTTTTTTATGAAGAAAATTCATCACAGTAGTAATGAGATGTTGTTTTAGATTGGGAAGGAATAAAGAACATGCACTATGTATTTTTCATTGCGTGATTTCCCATTGCTTTAAAAAGTTTTATTAAATGACCCAGGTGATACATACCATAAAATGTTGCAGAACAGCTCAAACACTTTCTGTTGGCTTTTGATCATTTATTCCATTCTTGAATGCAGAAAAAAGGAAGAATATTATATTAAGCAGCACAATGGTTAAAAATGATTTAAGGAATAAATCTCATAACTTGAGCTTGGCCTTTGCCCCCCCCCATTGTTTTAATATTGTTATAACAGAACACATTTTACAATTGATAATGAAATTATTTGTTTTGTATTTATCATGACTTATTTTATAACTTATCCCACTTTTATCTTACAGTATCTGTGTAGGTTATTCTGACCGGAGAAATCTGATCAACAATTAAGATATAGTTAGGGTCCAGAATTATACAAAGTAACTTAACATGCAATCAAGATTGAAAATTCATCTGTAAAAATACTAATTCATCTTTAAGAATACCAATTGGATAAAAATATTGTGTAATGTAATTATAACTAGATTGAGTCGTAATGAATGTCCTCAAACATTCTGTCTTGTATAAATCATATACACATCTTTTCATTCGAAGAAAAGAACTATTTAACATCAATTTTTAATATACTAAGAGGAAAAAGAAACGCAGGGTAGCATGATATTGGATAATTATTTTACTACAAAACCGAAAATTATGAAAATTGGTCAGAGTGGTCTTCTTGTCATTGTGCACAGGGATCGGTGTCAAAAATCAGTCAACCGTGAAAACTATTGCACCGCTAAGGCAAAATGCCAAAATGCAAATATCACGAGCAGATTATTGATTAATCGAACGTTTTGTCATTTTGTCATGAATACCAATTGATACTCCAGAGATATACACATCAGTTTTCAGTATAAGAATTAAATTTTGTTGTTTTGCAGTCATGGTGCGTTTGACTGAAGATCATAGGGGTCAGGCCATTGCACTGCTAATGCAAGGTCAAAGGCAACAACAGGTTGCATTGCAGTTTGGGGTTAATCTCTCTACGATAGAACGTTTTGTTCGTCGTTTGAGAGAAACTGAGAGGAGACTGATAGGTTTGGGGGTGGGTCAGTAATGGTCTGGGGTGGGATTTCCCACGGGGTAAAGTCACCCTTGATTGTGGTAGCTGGAAATTTAAATTTCCCTAGATATAGGGATGAAATTCTCCGCCCGGTTGCTGTCTATTTGTGCAACGACATAACTTAATTTTCCAGCAGGATAACGCCCGAACTCATGTAGCCAGAGTGTGCCAAGACTTTCTAGCAAACAATAACATTCAAACACTTGACTGGCCCCCATACAGTCCAGATTTGTCCCCAATCGAACATCTGTGGGACGAACTGGACAGGAGGGTAAGGGGGCGCCCCAATTCTCCTGTTACTCTCGACCAGTTAAAGATTGCCTTACGTGAAGAGTGGGATAATATTCCCATGAGAAGGATAAATGGCCTTATGAACTCCATGCACAAGAGAATCAGGGCTGTGACAGGTGCGCAAGGGGGGCATACAAGATTTTGAGTCTTTCATTTTCACTTTATGGGGGGTACCATCGAATGGGCTTCCATAACTAATGATTAATCAGAAAAAAATTATTGAAAGTCTGTCAAATTATTGAGCATAGATGTGTTAATATGATTTATAAAGATCATTAGGAAAAAAGTAGAAGAAACCATATTAAACAACCTCAGAAGTTTACCCTGCGTTTCTTTTTCCTTTCAGTATATTATATACAATTTTTTACTCACTATCTTTTCAAGTCATGATTTTATGTGAACTTTTTAATTTTTTTGTAGAATTCTAAAAGGGAGGAGGAAAAGAATGAACACAACACGTCACTGAGTCGTAAAAAGTATAGGGAGGAAATCAAACAAGTAAGTCTTTACCCCTCTCTCTCATCTATCTTTCTGAGAGTTTTACAATAGTATAATATTGACAGTGCACTCTTATTAGGTGTAGATATTTAATTAAAAAGCTCCAGTATAATGGACAAGCATGTCATTCGACATTTACATTGTTTTAAGTGTTTGTAACAAAAGTGAAACTTGAACTTTTCAGCACAATGGTGACGTCCAGCTCACCCGATACAGTAAATTACCAATGGAAGAGATTGCCAACAAACTTACCGTGGACAAAAAGGATGATATTAATGTCAAACTGAACAATGACCTTCAGTCTAATGTCAAGGTCAGCCAGATGGCGGAGATTCTGGTGTCAAAGTTCAAACAAGGCTTGGAGCCACCAGTTAAACAAAAAGTGGTAAAAAAAAATTTTTCAGAATTAATTTGGAAATTTTGTGTATAAAATGAAGATTTGTGCATGATTTTATACAATTAGAAGGTTGGATTTCTTTGAGATACGTTACAGGATAAAAAATCCTTGTTCTCTCCTTGCCCAAATATTGTGTATGTTTCAAGATAGTAACTAATATGTATTCTATTTACATAAATATACTCACTATATCTCCTAGAAAACAACAGGTGTTCTTTTGGCTGCCCAGCCAGAGAGCGAGATCTGCTATTTCTGTAAGAAACGTGTGTACATCATGGAGAGAATGTGTGCTGAGGGCATCTTCTTCCACCGGGGCTGTCTCAAGTGTGATTTTTGTGAATGTGGACTGAGAGTCAATAACTACAGCTGTGACAAGCTAGCAGGAAGTGAGGGTAAGTTGTTACAAAACCAATCTGTCTCAAGGTCCACAACATCTCACTTAGAGAATCATTGTAAGTTCTCATAAAGGTCCACAACATCTCTCTTAGAGAATCATTGTAAGTTCTTATAAAGGTCCACAACATCTCACTTAGAGAATCATTGTAAGTTCTCATAAAGGTCCACAACATCTCTCTTAGAGAATCATTGTAAGTTCTCTTAAAGGTCCACAACATCTCTCTTAGAGAATCATTGTAAGTTCTCTTAAAGGTCCACAACATCTCTCTTAGGGTATCATTGTACGTTCTCATAAAGGTCCACAACATCTCTCGTAGAGAATCATTGTAAGTTCTCTTAAAGGTCCACAACATCTCTCTTAGAGAATCATTGTAAGTTCTCTTAAAGGTCCACACCATCTCTCTTAGAGTATCATTGTAAGTTCTCATAAAGGTCCACAACATCTCTCTTAGAGAATCATTGTAAGTTCTTATAAAGGTCCACACAATCTCTCTTAGAGAATCATTGTAAGTTCTCTTAAAGGTTTCACAACATCTGTCTTAGAGTATCATTGTAAGTTCTCTTAAAGGTCCACAACATCTCTCTTAGAGAATCATTGTAAGTTCTTATAAAGGTCCACAATATCTCTCTTAGAGAATCATTGTAAGTTCTCTTAAAGGTCCACAACATATCTCTTAGAGAATCATTGTAAGTTCAAGTTCCACAACATATCTCTTAGTGAATCATTGTAAGTTCTTATATAGGTCCACAACATCTCTCTTAGAGTATCACTGTAAGTTCTCTTAAAGGTCCACAACATCTCTCTTAGAGAATCATTGTAAGTTCTCTTAAAGGTCCACAACATCTCTCTTAGAGAATCATTGTAAGTTCTTATATAGGTCCACAACATCTCTCTTAGAGAATCATTGTAAGTTCTTATATAGGTCCACAACATCTCTTTTAGGGTATCATTGTAAGTTCTCATAAAGGTCCACAACATCTCTCTTAGGGTATCATTGTAAGTTCTCTTAAAGGTCTACAAAATCTGTCTTAGGGTATCATTGTAAGTTCTCTTAGAGGTCCACAACATCTCTCTTAGAGAATCATTGTAAGTTCTTATAAAGGTCCACAACATCTCTCTTAGAGAATCATTGTAAGTTCTCATAAAGGTCCACAACATCTCTCTTATAGTATCATTGTAAGTTCTTATTAAGGTCCACAACATCTCTCTTAGAAGATCATTGTAAATTCTTATTAAGGTCCACATCATCTGTCTTGGAGGATCATTGTAAGTTCTTATAAAGGTCCACGACATCTCTCTTAGTAAATCATTGTAAGTTCTCTTAAAGGTCTACAACATCTCTCTTAGAGAATCATTGTAAATTCTTATGAGGGTCCAAAACATCTCTCTTAGAAGATCATTGTAAGTTCATATTTAGGTCCAATATATCTCTGTTAGAGAATCATTGTAAGTTCTTATAAAGGTCCACAACATCTCTCTTAGAGAATCATTGTAAGTTCTTATAAAGGTCCACAACATCTCTCGTAGAGAATCATTGTAAGTTCTTATATAGGTCCACAACATCTCTCTTAGAGAATCATTGTGAGTTCTTATATAGGTCCACAACATCTCTCTTAGACAATCATTGTAAGTTCTTATATAGGTCCACAACATCTCTCTTAGAGTGTCATTGAAGTTCTCATAAAGGTCCACAACATCTCACTTAGAGAATCATTGTAAGTTCTTATAAAGGTCCACAACATCTCTCTTAGAGAATCATTGTAAGTTCTTATAAAGGTCCACAACATCTCTCTTAGAGAATCATTGTAAGTTCTTATATAGGTCCACAACATCTCTCTTAGAGTGTCATTGAAGTTCTCATAAAGGTCCACAACATCTCTCGTAGAGAATCATTGTAAGTTCTTATATAGGTCCACAACATCTCTCTTAGAGTGTCATTGAAGTTCTCATAAAGGTCCACAACATCTCTCTTAGAGAATCATTGTAAGTTCTTATAAAGGTCCACAACATCTCTCTTAGAGAATCATTGTAAGTTCTCATAAAGGTCCACAACATCTCTCTTAGAGAATCATTGTAAGTTCTTATAAAGGTCCACAACATCTCTCCTAGAGAATCATTGTAAGTTCTCATAAAGGTCCACAACATCTCTCTTAGAGAATCATTGTAAGTTCTTATAAAGGTCCACAACATCTCTCTTAGAGAATCATTGTAAGTTCTTATATAGGTCCACAACATCTCTCTTAGAGTGTCATTGAAGTTCTCATAAAGGTCCACAACATTTCTCTTAGAGTGTCATTGAAGTTCTCATAAAGGTCCACAACATCTCTCGTAGAGAATCATTGTAAGTTCTTATGTAGGTCCACAACATCTCTCTTAGAGTGTTATTGAAGTTCTCATAAAGGTCCATGACATCTCTCTTAGAGAACCATTGTAAGTTCTTATAAAGGTCCACAACATCTCTCTTAGAGAATCATTGTAAGTTCTCATAAAGGTCCACAACATCTCTCTTAGAGAATCATTGTAAGTTCTTATAAAGGTCCACGACATCTCTCTTAGAGAATCATTGTAAGTTCTTATATAGGTCCACAACATCTGTCTTAGAGGATGTCATTGTAAGTAAAGTTTAATGTTCAATGTGACTCCAGGTTACAATTTTACTCTAGGTTGTTCATTTTGATTTAAGGTTACCAACTACACTCTGAGATATTTCCCATTAGTTAAGGTTAAATCTACTGAGGTTAGGAATAAAAACGCTTAAATGAGTTAACACTAGTTAGGCTAGCTTTCAAAGCACTTGTTTGTGCTCCTCTTTGATTTATTGATTCATTGTTTTCTCTTTTATAAAATTGCTATCATTTATTCAAAACTTAATTAAAAGCAGTTCTGAAATAGCCCTGTGAATGTCTTAGCTCTGCATAAGTAGTTTTGTGTGTATTTATTATACATACTATTTATTATACTACATTTTTATGTCACACAGTGAAGTTCTACTGTTTCCGCCATTCTAAGCCTGAGATGAGATTAGGTCGAGCCAAGAGAAAACGAGCGTTTGAAGAGGACACATCAAAAGTTAGTAAACTTGTACCTAGGATGTATACATTTCTACATAATTATACAATATTTTAAGGTAGAATGCCACACAATTTTTTAATTTTATGGATCTATGAGTCATCCTTTCTAAACAATGGTTTCAGCATTGAAAGGCTGATATTAGCTCTTAATTATTTTATATGAATTTTTTTGTATTTTTTCAAAGAAAATGAAAAAAATTATTTACATCCAAATAAGATGCTTTCTTGTAAAAATTTTGCTGTAAATGAATGCATCACATGAATACCTAATAAAATATGAAAAGAAAGTCTGGTTAGACTTTTTGATTTTTTTTATAAAAAATTATTTATAAAAATGAAACACATTATTTGTAAATATTTTTTAAACCTATGGTTAAAAACACCATAAAACTAGTCACAACTAAGGACAACATGTTTGTCAATCATATTTTAAAAAGAAATTGAAACGAAATTGAGAAATTTTAGAGAAATTAATTTCTTTAATATTTGGACCTAACCCGATCAAAATTAAACTGACCCCGATCAAAAATAACACAAAATGATTAATTGCTTATTTATTGCCTCTTCATGTATTAACAATGAATAAATCTATTTTATTTTCAGGTTCTAAAATGTTAAAACCCTTATAACACCTAATCAGACTAGTGTTCTTAAGAAAATGTTATTTATTTCCAATAATTGTACAATTATGGTCGGGATCAGTTTAATTTTGATCGGGATTGGCCAAAATTAAAAAATTAATTTCTCTAAAATTTGGCTACTTCGTTTCAATTTCTTTTATAAATATGATTAATAAAAATGTTCTCCCCAGTTGTGGCTGGTTTTAAGAAGATTTTAACCACAAGTTTAAAAAATATTCACAAATTATATGTTTTATTTTCATAAATATTTTTTTATAAAAAAAATTAAAAAGTCTAACCAGACTTTCTTTACATATTTTATTAGGTATTCATGTGATGCATTCATTTACAGCAAAAATTTTAC